GAAAAAAACTGTTATGTAATATAAATATATGACATTGAATTCTGGACAATTTCCTTATAGATGAAGAGAAGACGGGAGTCAAAAGAAATGTAGTTCTACAGAAGGATACTAAGAATACCAAGAACGGAGCGCATTGAGCAACGAGATGGTCTTCAGGAAGCTAGAAACAAAAAGTCAGTTATACTCAGAATCAGAAAGAGACAACTGAAAATTCTAATAAAGAAAGAGGCCTTTGGCAATTCGGCACTCACATAACATGCTGAAAGCGTTAGGGACAACGAGTAACAGTAACCTATCTATCAGTATAACGAGCACTTTTATAGGGATGGCTGGACAGAAATGGGAGAGATAGTAAGGAGAGAATCATTAATCAGAATTACAAATGAAAAGAAGTTGTGGAGAGCCTAGATTGCTCAGCTCGTATGAATGGATGGCGAAACGGGGAAGGAGGGATAGTAAAAAGACAAATGTCGCTAAGATATCCAGAGGATAGGAACTCGTGGAGAGCCATGATCGCTCGGCTGGTGTGAATGGATATCGAAACGGGGAAGGAGGAATAGTAAAAAGACAAATGTTGCTAAGAGGTACAAAAAACAGAAATTCGTGGAGAGCCAATGATTGCTCAATTCCTGACCAGCTTGTCTTAATGGATGTCGAAACGTAGGTGGTTGGTCTTCTTCACCAGCTCAAGGGATATAATGTCCCTGGCCGAATATGTCACTTAATCCTATCTTTTGGAGGAAAACGGCGCGTAACATACTTGATGATCTTGAGTAAATGGATGGTGGAACAAGGTTTAGAAGAAATAACAAAAGATAAAACTTATTAAGAGCTAAAAGGCATAGGAAGATGTGGTGATCGCCTACATGTTGAAGGATCACGACACATATAAGGAGAATTTATGATGATGACACAACTATTTGTTCTTGTCTTAAGAATAATTCGGATTGGTCCGACAAAGATGAAGTGGCAGCTGCTCTCGAAGATGACCACAAATCAATTGTTAACTGGGGCAAGAAATGGCTTGTAAATTTTTACATCACCAAAATAAAACTGCTATCTTTTAATCATCATAGAGAACCATGTTTTGCCTTACATTAGCACGACTGATGCTAACTTTCAGGAGCACAAATCATTGCGTCTTCTTGGTCTCATGATTTTTACTGACATGAAGAGGAGTGATTCTATTGAATCTATTGTTAAGTCTGCTGCTAGGAAAGGTGGTTCGCTGTATCGTGCCAGAATCCATCTTGCACATTTATAAATCTACCATTCGTCCATGCATTGGATATATCTGCCATATCAGGTTTGGTGCTCCGTCTATATATCTCGAGATTCTCGACAAAATTTAAAGAAGTGTCTGTGTTCCGGCTATATATCTAGAGATTCGCGACAAAATTTAAAGGATTGTCTGTGTTCCGGCTATATATCTCGAGATTCGCGATAAAATTTAAAGAAGTTTCTGTGTTCCGGCTATATATCTTGAGATTCGCGACAAAATTTAAAGAAGTGTCTGTAATGTTATCGGTCCTGACCATCATCTCGACTTCAGTCTTTTCCCCTCCGTCTTGATTTGGCTTCCCTCTGTCTTTTCTGTAAATATTTTCATGGCAGGTGTTTTGACGAGCTCCCCCCCCGCCTTGATAATCTACTGCGTGTATTTAAGCGTACTACTAGATTGGCAAATAGGTCCCATTGTTTTACTGTTGCAATAGCTAGATGTGACCGTAAGTTCTATTCTAATAGATTCTTTTCTCGCACTTCTCGCCTACGGTACTCTTTTTGCGGTTTTTTGTTTTCCTGTCAGCTAAGTTTTTAAAAAATTTAAATGCAACGTCAGTTGCCAGATTCTGTCTTCCTAAGCGCATGTCTTTTATTGTCCTTTCTGTCCACTAAAATTTTTCTCATTCTATTTCACTTTCAGTAACCTCCTTGCGTCTTAGTGGCATTAACGCCTTGCTTGAGGTGAAATTATATTAAACTTATTTACATTGTGGTGCGATCAATAATATTTACTGATGAATAATTATAGTACGACACTTACATATATATCAAGGCAATAAGATAAGATTCAAATTGACTGCAGTTAGCAAACTTTAAATGTTATTTACTAAGTCTAGCTAGACGACAAAGCGATCCCGATCAAAAGATATGCGTTGTGCTTGGAAATCAGATGATATTTTCTCAGCCTAACAACACGGTAAGAAACAAAAAAACCTCAGTAGGAACAAAGAAAAGACTACTGAATCTGTCCTCCTATCAATGGATGCTGGACAATCTTCTCAGAGATGAAGACGAGACTTGAAGCAACAGAAATGTGGTTCTACAGGATGATGCTGACGATACCATGGAGCAACGTTGAAGTTTTAGCGAAAATGGAAATAAAAAGAAGTTTATACATTGAAATTTCTCGGGCACATAATGTGGAAAGAGGGCTTGGAAAACCTGATACACACAGAACTGACTGAAGGCAAAACAACGCATAACATAGTGAGCTTGAGTAAATGGATGGTAGATCAATGTTTAGAAATAACAAAAAGACACATTTATTAAGAGCTACGTAGGACGGGAAATTGTGGAGAGCCATGATAGCCTATGTTCTGAAAACACACGGTACATAAAAAAGAAGAACACGGCAGGGTGATAAAATTATGTTTGGTAAGCTTCATTTACGCTGGAGCGATCAAATAAAATTTAATTGACATGAGTAAGTCACTGAAAGATCAAATAAAGCTGAACCACTCAGTGGACAGATTAAATGCAGTTTCCTGAGTATAAGTGCACAGCAGAGAGATTCAATGATATTTGCTAAGGTTAACTACACGGCGAGGCGATCAAATAAAATTTTCTAAGCCCCCTACGAGTTGGAACGATTAATGAGTATCAGGGAAAGTTAACTTCACAGCGGGGAGATCAAGCTCTATTTTCAAAGCGTGTACATGTCACGGTGACGAAATGACACTTGTTAAGCTTATCAAAACGGCGGGACGCCAAATAACATCTGATAATATTAACTATACTACAGGATGATCAAATAACTTCTGAAAAAAATTAACTACACAGCAAAGTGATCATGTAACATCAATGAAACTTATTTACATCAAAGAATGATCAAATATACTTGCTAAAATTAAGTACATAACACAGCAAATGACATCGAAGCTAAAATACAACGCAGGGTGATTCAAATACACTTGCTAAAATTAAGTACATATCAGAGCGATCAAATGACATTAATGAAGCTAAAATTCACTGTAGGTGGATCAAATAATCTTGATAAAATTAAGTATATATCAGAGCGATCAAATGACATTAACGAAGCTAAAATTCACCGCAGGTGGATCAAATATACTTGATAAAATTAAGTACATAAAATAGCGATCAAATGACATTAACGAAGCTAAAATTCACCGCAAGTGGATCAAATATACTTGATAAAATTAAGTATATATCAGAGCGATCAAATGACATTAACGAAGCTAAAATTCATCGCTGGTTGATTAAATATACTTGATAAAATTAAGTAGATAAAAGCGCGATCAAATGACATTAACGAAGCTAAAATTCACCGCAAGTGGATCAAATATACTTGTTAAAATTACGTACATATCAGAGCGATCAAAATGATATTAGTGAAACTAAAATATAACGCAGGGTGACCAAATATATTTACTTATTTGCTAAAATTAACTTCACGAGTGAGTAATCAAATGCTACTATCAAAGCTTAACTACAACACAGTTTTTTAAAATAATATCTTCTAATATTTTCTACAATTGTGCGATCATATAACATTCTTTCTTTTTATGTGTCATGTCTTTTAATGAACGTAGGCGATCATGGCCCTCCACCTCCCTCTATCCCTTGCAGATCTCAGCAAGCTTCTTCCCTCTGCTTCCTCCCCTAAACCACGTTCTGTCATCCACTTGCTTAAGCCCACTAGATATCTCATGCGTTGTTTTCCCTTGTCTCTCTTTTCCTCTATTTGACCTGTGAGTATCAGATTCTCTAGGCCCTCCTTCTCTATTATGTATCCCAGAAACTTCAGCTGCCTGTTCCTGATGTTAAGTATAAGCCTCCTTCTTGTTTGCATCCTCTCTAAGATCTCATCGTTGCTCACACGCTCGGTCCATGATATCCTTAGCATCCTTCTGTGTATCAGATTCTCCAAGTCCTCCTTCCTCATTATGTATCCCAGAAACTTCATCTGCCTCTTCCTGATGTTAAGTATAAGTCTCCTTGTTTGCAACCTCTCTAAGACCTCATCGTTGCTCATACGCTCGGCCCCTGATATCCTTAGTATCCTTCTGTAGATTCACATCTCCGTTGCCTCGTGTCTCTTCTTCATCTTTGAGGAAATTGTCCAACATTCGCTGCCGTGAAGAAGGGCAGATGTCACGTAACTGCTCAGTATTCTTTTCTTTGTTACCAAAGAAATCCTCCTGTCTTGCAATACCCCACCCAGCTTTTGAAATGCGTCCT